GGTTCATCTGCTGTTTTCAACACTTCCCAGAACTGATTAGATGGAAAAGTTCCATTGCACACATTCTCATCAAAACCCGTACTCCTATCTCTTCCAATTGTGATGCATAACTAGTACCCACTTGTTTAAGTGTAGGAGTAAAACTAGTACTTGCATGGTTCGATTCTGAAACAAAATTCTGACCAGCTGCATCAATCACCATCCTTTCGCATGGGTTCAATTGGTCATAATAGCTACATTCTTCCCTAACTAAAAATTGGTCACTTCTTCGATATCCTTCATCAGATATAAATGGTTCACCATGAGAAGTCTAATTATAATAGTTCGGAGTAAACCCAAATCTACAAAGATGCTCTCTAACTTTATCACACACATGAAATTTACCATTACTATACTTTTTACACGGACACCTTAACTTATTTCTATCCATGAACTCATATTTACTACTAGCAAAGTCTAAAAATAGTTCTAACCCAGTACGAAACTCATCGGTTAATCCTCAACGTCCAGGTAAGTTCTTATTATACATCCAAGCCCTGTCTCTTTGCATTGTATCTGTATAAAAATAAAAAAATCTCGTAAAATATTAAAAATATCATATCTACTGTTCTTAATTAAAACCATAAAATTATGAAAATTAAAATTTTGTTTTTGACGCAACAATTACTTTGAACTTGAAAAAAAAATGAAAAAATTACCATGTAAAGAAAACTTTCCCAAATATTTGACTGAAATCTTTATAGTAGAAAGTGGTCAATTTGATGAGAATTGCAACGTTCACTTGGATTGCGAGACCTTCAAATGGACACGTACCTAAAAAAAAGAAAAATCACTTAAGATTCATTTTTTTGAATTTTTTTTCCCCTATATTTTTCTCCGGTCGCTAGACCGGCGAGTTCGACCTCGCCGGCCATGGGCGAACCCGAGCGGCCTCGGCCAGGTGTGGCTATCGACCTCGCTGTTGCCCAGATCTAGGCGACAGCGAGGTTGACCGGCGGCTACGACGAGGCCGCTTAGCCTCGCCCGGATCTGGGGGAGGCCAAGCGGCCTCGCCATGGCCGGGCGAGCCGGCGGCCTCTACGCCATGGCCGGGTCGACCTCACGAGTCGCCTAGATGCGGGCGACGGCGAGGTCGCCGTCGGCCATGGGGAGAGGCCGAGCGGCCTCGCCATGGCCGCCGGTCGACCTCGCCGTCGCCCGGATCACGGGCGACGGCGGGAGGTCGATGGGCGGGCCATAGGGAGGCCGGCGACCTCGCCTCGCCCAAATCTTGGCTACGGTGAGGTCAACGGCCATGGGAAGAGGCCGAGCGGCCTCACCGGCCATGGGGCGAGGCCGCTCGGTCTCCCCCAGATCTGGGGGAGGCCAAGCGGCCTCTCCCCATGGCCGCCGGTCGGCCTTGCCGTTGCCCAGATCTGGGCGCTGGTCGACCTCGCCCCATGGCCGGCGAGGCCGCTCGACCTCCCCCCATGGCCGGTGAGGTATCGCCGGTTGCCGGACTGGCGACCGGAGAAGAATTTACGAAAAAAAAAACAAAAAAATAGTCAATAAAATAAAAAAATTTGAATCCAGCGATGAATAGTTTTGCGAAGAACCGTATTCGTCGCCAATTAGTCACGAAGTTAGCTATGATACTTACCGGTAGAAAAGCTTTACCGAGATTGATTTGTGCGTGCACGGATAGATTTATTGAGAGAAACGAAAGAGGGAGAAGGAGGGAGAAAAGCGAGGGGGATACGAGGAATCAGTACAGAGAGAGAGAAATTGACGGGTGGGGTGGATATCACGAAAGTTATTTTCCATCATAAACTACAAATTAGAGACGAATTCGTTTTCGTCGCAAATTAGCGACGAATTTTTTATCCGTCGCAAATTAGCGACGGTAAAAAAATCCGTCACTAATTTCGTCGCAAAATAGGAAATTTCGTTGCATAAATTTGCGACGGAAAAGAACTCCGTTGCAAATTAGCGACGGAAAAGTGGTAATCGCTAATTTGCGACGGAAAATAAATCCTTCGCTAATTCCGTCGCAAATTAGCGACGACCACTTTTCCGTCGCTAATTTGTGACGGAATTAGCGACGGAGTTCTTTTCCGTCGCAAATTTGCGATGGAATTAGCGACGGATTTATTTTCCGTCGCAAATTTGCGACGAATTTTTATTTCGTGGCAAATTCCGTCGCAAATTAGCGACGATTAATTTTCATCGCTAATTTGCAACTGAAAAAAAAATCCGTCGCAAATTTCGTCGCAAATTTGCGACGACAAATTTCCCATCGCAAATTTCCGTGGCAAAATCCATGTTTTTTTGTAGTGAGGGCTGCGATAACGAGCTCGCCATCCTCTGGGTACAGCCATCCTCGAGCATATCGAGCTTATGCTTATGTAGTAACTATGACTTAAGCTAGACATTCCTATTGATTTTCTGCGGAACATGCATAGTTAAATTAAATATAAATACAGCGGAAAGATATAACAATACATGTATCTCCAAAGGCGTTGTTCGTGCGTTTCAATCAAAGATCGGAAGATCATAGGGGGTTAAACGGATTACCTCTTATAGCGTGTCCAAAACGATTTCGGTTCGGATATTCTTCAGTTCGAGCCCCACAACCGTCGGACCTTTAGTTCAGATACACCACCAATCGCACAACGAACGGAAGAAAGAACTTGCGGTTAATCACCACTATAATTGTTCTAGCAACCTCGTGACGACAATTCTCCACACTCTTGATTTTTGAGTCACGGTGCCGAAAGAGAGAAAACGTAATTTTTAACTCTCAAGCACCCATAATATTGCATACACTCAATTTCATCATCATGCAACTGTTGTTGATCGCGCTTTTTATATGTGCGATCAGCAACCGTTGCTGATTGTGCATGTGTGCACATTGCACACGATCAGTAACGGTTGCTGATCGTGTGTCATGCACACGGTTAGCAACCGTTTGCTGACCGTGTGTGTGAGCCATTTTTTTTTTAAATTAACCTCACACGATGAGCAACTGTTGTTGATCATGTGATGCACTTTTAATTAATTTAATACATAAAAGTGCACGACCAGCATATGTGTATTTCGTGAGCATCATATGCACACACGCCCATGACAAAACTTAAATTAAATTAAATCACATTTAATTTAATTTCAGCCCGACTCAATTCGATTGCAAACATATTTGCAATATTGTCTCTTCCGTACAACATCATCCTAAATTGGTTATGGTGTGTGACATCTCTAAATTCATCACCGAGCTGGTAGTAAGACTTGCACTAACACATTAGTACTCCCAAGAGAATTGATTGTCCCGATCAACCTCTAAATCCTATAAACCATGATTGACATCTAGCAATATGTCATGGCTACCCAGACAATGTGAATGATTTAAGAATATAATGAAGTTGTCAGTTTTGGCTACCGTGTAATTCAATCCATTTGCTTTACTATGTCTCGATCGAACAAAAACCATGGAATATTTGTCAAGCCACCAATTCGATCATATGCACAAATCTAATTAACATGCATTTTATATGAGAGATGAACAATTCATTCATGGTTACAACCCCGGCCGAGGATTTTAATGTAGTGTTAAGATTAAATTGCATAGGACATCATTATTATACCTTGCATATAACAAGGAGACAGATTCCATTTTGCGCACACGCGTAACTTTGTATATGAACGAACTATGGCCATCAAGTACAGAGACGGATCAACGAACCGGCAATATGCACACCTGTGAACCATAGCCAACCAACATACAAGTCAACACTGTGCCTCAGGTCTAAGGATTATTTACACAAGATCATAGCATGAACGATTAGACATTGACTACACTAAAAGCTTCCATGTTGCTAATCGTTCTATGCATGTCACATTTAGCGAACTTGTCTAATACAAGCACCTGTATTCTTACTCAGGCATCACAATACCCAATGACTATGACTCATCATTCCCTTAAGTATCCAATACTTAATGGTGAAGCTAAGAACACACTAGTCTCAACAGGATCATTAATATCCACTTAATGATCCATCGACCGGGAACAATTTAAAGATTCAATCTAGCTGTGAACTTGTTACGTATATTCTTAACATCTCAAGAATAAGTTCAGTCACAACTAATTTTATGGAATCATTCATATTGAATGAATACGTCCTTGCCATTAAATAAATAATGAAATTGATAGTACAACTTAAATCTCTAATATGTAACTATTATATGATAACATTAAGCTATACATCTAACAATTCCTTTATGTGAGAAGGCCCCCACGTGTCGTCCAGTGAGGTAGTTGCGTTAGTCTTCCCCCTCTTCACCTTTTTTGTTTTTTTGCATAGAAAATTGAACAGTGAAGAAATTATTGCACCAGCAACATAGTTTCAAGCTTTCCACTGGCAGGTATGATCAACGTGTATATACGATCAAGATATGTGTACATTTAAATAGCTATAGATTGAAGTATCACACATCTTTGACTGCACAGAGTGTAAATGTGCATTCAAATCCCGAAAATGTCGATGATCGTGCAATCAAATCATAATGTCTCCCCATCAATTTGCAAATGGCGAAAGCACGAATGAACATTTAAATAAGTGGATCGTATCCAAAGTCCACTAAGAGATTGCTACATCGATGTTCTACAGAACCCAACATGGCATCCTCTCATGAAATATAGGGTTCCAAATGGCCAAATGGAAGGACAGAGACATGGAAGCATGTCATGGCACTCCTATTCTCTGACTCGAAGACGTGAAATGCACTCAGAAAATCCACCCAACACAGTCAGTCAACTCAGCATATTTCCTGGTATATAAACGCCACCAGAAGCACTTCACACCCATAAATTTCTCCTTGTTTTTTAAACTGACACATAACCAAAGTTGGTCGAAACAGCACTCCCACCAGCTTCTTCAAATCAAAGGTCCTGCTCGCTTCGTTTCTTGAAGATGAAGCACCCACAAACGCACTCACCGTCTCCATCATCCCCTCATCAACCCCAATCATTACAAAAGAAGATGAAACCCAAAGCACACGTCGGCGTTGCCTTCGGATCCAAGCTTCTCAAACCATGCAGAAAACTCCTCCTCGTCTTCAGGCTCAAGAAGGTCACCATAAGAAGACCGCGAGCATCTCCCCGTCACACAGCATCGAAACGAGCCTCCTGCCTCAAAAGGCTCATACCCATCTCCGCCTTCGTTTCGGTCGTCCGTTCCCTGAAGAAGAAAATGAGCGGGAGAGGCAGGCTCAAAGAGGGCAATGCCAAGGGCAGTAAGATCAGCAAACTGCTCTCTGCGTCGGCTATGTCGTATTCCAGACGCGAGAGGCTGCTGTTTCCCTCGCCGATCACGCCGGCACCCTCTTCGGCAATCAGCAACGCTCCCTTGAAGTCTTTGAAGAAGTGGGGTTGGGACAGCAACGGCGGCGACCACGGCGATGGTGTCGACGAATTGGAAGATGCTTGCAGGAGCTTCGAGAGTTACTTGGTGGGAATGATAGTGGAAGAAGGGAAAGTGAGGGATCTCATGGACGTGGAGGAGCTCCTCTTCTGTTGGAAGAACCTCAAGTGCCCCGTTTTCGTCGACTTGGTCTCTCGGTTCTACGGCGAGCTGTGCCGGGACTTGTTCGCCACCACCGACGATGACAAGGTCGACAGTGTCAGTTACTAGTAAGGTTTCGTTGCTGCGGCGATGGAATAAGGTTGGGATGCCAAAGCGATGCGATTGTGATAGAGTTGAAGGAAAACGAGAAACATTATTTCAATTGTCAGTAAACAAGATCAAGATGGTTAACACTATGTTTGGTTGGACCTGGCATGATATATACAGAGTGATAATCCCAGGGCTAGAGATATCGAAACCCGAAGCAAAATTAGTTTACAAAGTGATCTGACGGACTCCTATTGAGAGCTTGAATATAACCCATTCGCTTAAATTGCCGACCGTAATTTGTCACGTCATTTGATAAAGCACCAATCTAGATACAAAGATGGTTTGCTACTTTGGCGATTGTCAAACCTGTCGTCGCCGGTGGTGCCTCATTGATGGGTCGCATCGATGGCACCACCTCGAGGTGTGGTGGGTCATGAACCGAGGGTTGCTGGTAGGGGAGATTGTCGATGATAGCGCATCAATAGCGGTCAAACGCGCAGGGGGTGGTGGCCGGCTGCGGCGGAGGGCGGCCGCCGACTTGGACCGACGGTTTGGGCGAGTTGGTCAGTGGTTCAAAGCTAGGACTAGAGGGCTCTTTCTCGAAGGGCATTTTAACAATTTCATTTGCCAGATAGGATGCAAACTTCCATTCCCTAAAGTAGAGAATGCAAAATGTTGCACCGGTGAAAACTCATGTATCTCTATCATGGGAGAAGAGTTTGATACCCCGAGAATTAGCGAGATTATTATTATTTTCGTAGGGTTTTAGCTAAAAATTTTCTTAATATTAGTTAATCTAAGTCACGAATGAATTTTGGAGCTTAAAAACTCGTATAATGCATGTGAGGGTTGCCATCCTTGGCTTTTTTTCTTTTTTTCTTTTAAGAATAATATTTTAGTGTTCTTGTGTAATGTTTAGTTGAGATTGATATGGCTCCCAACCGTTATCGCGGTGACGCCGAATCACTACCGGCGAGATACAAGACGCCATGTTACTTGAGCAATGCTTGCTTTTTTCCGCTAAGTATTGCTCAAACCCAACCGACCATCTTGCAGGGACCTCGGTCCTAGCGCCGAGGTATCTGGCAAGAGCTCCCCTAGCCCGGGTGCTCAGCGTCTTGGGACTGTGTTCCGGGTCCCATGGGACATGTTCCGGGTGATCGAGGGACCTGAGCCCAAGCACAGGGATCCCAAGTCCGACCGTCCGTGGTCTCCGAGTCCTTCGGCGGGGACCTCTTGGTCCAACCATCGGAGATGATCCGGTGCCGCCGGTGGAGGCAAAATGACTTCTGGGCCCAAAAAAACCGTTCCTCTCATTTCTGGGCCCAGCCCAGAAGAGTCCGGCCCAAAATCTCAACCGAATTTTGAAAGCATATATGCCTTCTCGGATTTTACCAATATTTTTTTCTCGGATATAATCAACGGTCGAATTGCAGAGACCCAGACAAGCACCCACAGAGAGAGAGAGAGAGAGAGAGAGAGAGAGAGAGAGATGCGGAAGAGAAAGGGGCGATCGGAGAAGGCGGAAACCCTAGCCGCCGCCGGAGGATCGGCGGAGATCGGAGAAGAAGGAGGAGGAGGAGGAGGAGGGAAAGGAGATGGAGATGGGAAGTTCTTCGCTTGCTACCTCTTGGCCTCCCTCAGCCCTCGCCACAAAGGCCACACCTACATCGGGTAACCATCTCTACTTCTTCTTCTCCTCTCTTCGTGGTTTTTGGACTCCGGTTCCGTTCGCTTCCGGTCACCGGTCGCGATCTGGCGACGGGCTTGGGGAGCTCTCTATTTCCTCTTTTTGTCGAGCGGCGAGCTGATCTTGAAACCACCGGCCGCGATCTCGGACAGATTCACGGTGAACCCTAGGCGGCGGATCAGGCAGCACAACGGGGAACTGATGTGCGGGGCGTGGAGGACCAAGAGGAAGCGGCCCTGGGAAATGGTCTTCTGCATCTACGGCTTCCCCTCCCATGTCTCCGCTCTTCAGGTTCGGCTTCGCTCTCGGATGGGCCATGTTCCTTCCTAATTACTCGCGCGAATCTAGCCTAGGCTCGGTTCTGATTGAAAGAACTATCTCAATGGCAAATTTTTAGAAGGTTGTTTTGCAGAGCACGAGCCAATCAATCTCTGTCTTTTGGGTTGTTTCATGAGCTAACTCGTTGCGAATGATTTAGAATGTATCTGTAGTTTCTTAAGACGAGAGATCCTCTTATTATGCAAAGGTCTAGACTTGCAAAAAGTTTAACAATTTCAGAGTCTCGTTCACTCTGTTTCTTCTCACGATGGTGACTTAAATTGGGTCGTCGGTTCATAGTTTTTGTGCACTTTTTGTATTGTGATTCCCAAAAGGGTTGATTTTTCCGTTGTGGTCTTGCCTTCGAATGGAGCTCTAGCTATGCGTTGATGTAGTGTTTTTGCCTAATGCATTTTCCTTTGATCGCGGAAACACTACAGTTCGAATGGGCCTGGCAGCATCCGAGAGAATCCTTGGCCGTAAGGACGGCAGCCTCGGAATTCAAATCCCTGTCTGGGATAGGCAACAAGATCAAACTGGCATACACAATGCTTAATCTCCCATCTTGGCAAAGGTATCTACTGTCTTCCCTTTTTCTTCCCACTTAATTATTACCTGTATCAGACCGTGGGCCTGTTTGGTTAAGCATTTCCAAGGGACTTTGGGCCTTGGCCAAATGCAAATAGCGTTTGGCAATTTTTTTAGAGCACTTTGGAGAAATGCAATTGCATTTCCAAAGGTCTCTAAAAGCCTTTAGCCAAGGCAGGTCCAGAGGAACTTAAGCAAATTGTATTTTCCGAATGCAAGTTTAATGTTCATCACACTCTTCATTTTCCTTGAGCAGCAGGTTCGGAGGCCGGCGACCGCCGCCTGAGGGGTCGCGTGACTGCCGCCGCCAAGGGATCGCGCAATCCCGGCCCCGGCGACCGCCACCTGAGGGTCATGAGACCCAAGCGACGCCTGAGGTCGAGTAGCCCCGGGCAGCCGTTGCCGGGGTTGCGCGACCTAGGTGACACTTGAGGTCACGTGACCCAGGCGACGCTTTAGGTCAAGTGACCCCAGGCGGTGGTCACTGGGGTCGCACGACCCAGGCAAGCGTTGGCCTAGGGTTGCCCGACCTTAGGCGTCGCTTGGGTTGCGAGACCCAAGCAAAACTTGAGGTCGGGCAACCTCAAGTGGCACTGGCCGGAGGCGGTTGGTGGCTGAGCTCCATTTCAAACTTTTTTTAAGAAAATAAAATATTAGCAAAAGTCCTTTACAAATTAGTTTTTACTTGACGGTATTTAGGCCGAAATTGCTTTCAAATGTGATTTTAAAATATACTTTACCAAATATTACTTACATTTCGGAAAACCCCTTCAGCCCAAAGGCCTTTGCAACTTGCCAAAAACATTCCCCCAAAGTTGAACCAAACGGGCCCTAGTGTCCGTTGATAGAGTTCAGGTTGGTCTGCCCGGAACTTATGCATTCTTTTCCCTGGAAACTAGTTTCAAAATCAGAGTGAATTATTTTTCAACAAAATACACAAAGCATTCTGCTGGTTGCCCGAGTTTGCCCGAGCACATGAAGGTTCAGATTTGCCCCATGGATGAGCTCCCGTGCTATTCTGATGGAATTGCAGTTTCGATGCCAGACGATGAATGGGAAGGTGAGGCGGAGGTAGATGACAAGGATTGTAATGCTCACAGATTGGAGGAGCAGTTGGTAAGAGATGAAACGATTAATAATCTGCGCAACGATGAACCATGGGTACACCGGCCCATTTATGGAGAAGATTATGGTGCCGGCTTTTTGCCAGTTGGAGTACAATCTTCAGTCAACCCCAGCTCTTTTTCCTCAGATGAAGGGAGGAGTGCCAAGTTAAACAACCAGTTAGAAGAAAAATTGCCTGAGACAGCGTCGACTGCTAATAACAGCCAAGAGACCAGTAGATGTATTGCGTCTGAGGAAATTGAGATCATAGAACTGTTCACCCCATCGCCGAATTGCACATCTTCTTCGGGTAAGAGGAGAAGGGTTTCTACCATTTGTCCTGAAATTATTGACTTGACTCAGTCTCCCATTTTTGTCTAATTATAGAGCGTAGGATGCTGTAGTTTAACTTCAGAATAATGATGGAATCATCTGTAATAAGGAAGTGCTTCCAATTGTGCTTTAATAAACGTATGCGAAGTAGATCGCTTCTGGCGATCAGGTTCCTGTAAAGGCAATTAGTTGCATTCTAGAGGACGAGTAACTTCTTGTTGGCTTTGAGGAAAGCTGATGCAGCAGTTGCAGTCGGCAAATTTACGAAATACGCGAGCAAAATGTTCAAATTTTGAGGGAAGAGTATATAACAATGTCATATATTTTGTTGTTTCGCGAACCCATCAAGTATTCTAATTCATTGCACAAAAGATTCTGGAATTCTTTTTAACCTAACTTAAAGTATCATTGTAATCACATAAACATTACAGCCATATCAAGAGTTATTCCTGACATAGAACACGAAGAAGTAGAGTTCACGTTCATAGAACTAGCACCATTTACTCTGGACAGCTAAACAAACGAAGAACTGCCATCACTCACAAGATCGACAATTTTCATGGCTTTAAGCAGAGTTCATTCGACACTTGGTTTGGCCCTCCCCTATAAAACGATTCTAACTTTAAATGATTGTAAGTTTTTTTGGAATATAGCGACCCCTTTGCATGTTGCCATTAGTGTCCCAAAACCGCCACAAAATATTCGGTTTGAGCCAGAAAGGAATGAAATAGCGCAAAGTGTCCATAATTTTTTATGGAAAGAACATAGTAGGCCTCGGGCATTAGTAGCTGTTAATTTGTATCGAGTTAAAGACTCGCCGCTTGTGCATCCATGTACACTACAATTGCATAGCCAACTATTGACCAACCTTTGGCCAAAACAAGAAAAGAGAAGCCAAAAAAGAAAAGAAGGATATTAAACCATTCCGCAGTCCAAATTGCGACCTCAAAGCCGGATGCACCTACTGTTCTTGCAAAGCTACAATCCAATTTGCTGCTTCATCCCTAATGAGTTGTGACACCATTACCACCCTCTAAAATGATCTCGTCCTCTTGAAGATCTATTAATGCTGAGTTTATTATTTGCGACATCCTTGTCTTGACTTTGGTTTGGGATTGCGTACAGAAAAAAGATTACCGCAAGAAGTGCACGGTTGCACAAGAACCTTGCTTCAAACACTTGTTTAGTTTTCATCTTTTTAAATAAACCATTGATGGTATGAAGGTATTCATGAGTCTTATGCTACTCAAACTTAGAAAGTCATGTACCGTGCTCTTACAAAACCTTCCTTTTCAAAATCACTAGTGTATAAAATTAACAAGAATGTCATTTAAACTTTCGACCTTTCTTTCTATCGATATATCCTGGCCTGGTGGACGCAGTCACCACTCATAAGCTACCATATAAGCTTTACATTTCATAGCAAATAGTGCATCGACAACTTTATTCAGGTCACCATAAGCGATATCTAGATAAGGGAGTTCGCGTGATAAAAACGTAATGTACCACTTCAACAGTGCGCTTTGAGGCACATCTATGTTTATTATTATCTCTTTGTCCCAACAGAGATTACACAAAATCGACAGGCCTGCAGTTGACCTAAGACATGTGGTAAGTAATGCAACAATACATACAGTGGAGGAAATCAAGAATATCTCATATACAAGAGCAAGCAAAAGCACAAGCAGGGAACCGGAGAAGTCAGTCAGGAACTAATCTAAAAATTGTTGCTGCAGCTGGTACTGCATTTACTGTGGCTGTGGGTGTTGCTCACCTTGCCACACCCAAACAATGTCGTCAAGAGCAGGTCTTATATCTTCTTTCATTGTCTTCTGATATTCCATCGTATCCCCGCTAGCTTTCTTAAGTTCGATCAAGTGAAAAGACGGCGTGATCTCAAAGATCTCCGCATCAATGCCAAGGATCCCCTTCCTACCTTCGTTAAGCCCTTCCAGTTTTAGCAAACCCGTGTCGTTCTTCATCACCCTCAGCCTAAAGCAGTTTGCGATTTCCTGTAGCTTAGATAAGATCACAGAAGCAGGTTGTCTAGAGGTGAATCTTTCCTCTCTTTTCGGGGAGAATTCCCCGAACAAGCCGGAAAGATCAAAGCCAGCAGAAAAAGAGATGATATCAAAAGCATTCAGATTTGGAGGTTTTTTGTGCTCCGCCTTTGACTCGTTAGGAATACTGCTACTCTCGGATGAACTAGAACTGCTCGACTGCGCAACACCCATGTCCCTGTTCTCCATTTCCTGCATAATCTGTTTGTTGGAGATTAAACCTTTCCTAAACCAAGAACTTTCCTTTATCTTGGCTATGGAAATCCGTGTACTAGGGTTTGGGTCTAATATTTTGCTTATAAGGCGCCGAACTTCTGGAGGGAACCAACTAGGGCTTCTAAAATCTGCTCTGCCTATCTTCCTATACATCTCCATCAAATTTGAATCATGAAAAGGAAGATAGCCTGCCAACAGAACAAACAAGACCACCCCGCATGACCAAATATCAGCTTTGGCCCCATCATAGCCTTTTTGGCCAATCACTTCAGGAGCCACATAAGCAGGAGTGCCACAAATTGTATGAAGCAGCCCATCTTGGCGCTTGGATTCTGCGAGTGCACTTAATCCAAAATCAGACACCTTCAGATTGTCATTCTCGTCTAGGAGTAAATTCTCTGGTTTGATGTCTCGATGATAAACATTCCTGCTGTGGCAGAAATCAACTGCGTTTATAAGCTGTATGAAGAATTTCCTAGCGACATTCTCCTTCAGCTTTCCTTTAGAAACCTTATTAAAGAGCTCACCACCTTTAGCATATTCCATGACAAAGTAAATTTTGCTCTTGGTGGCCATTACCTCATAAAGCTGCACAATGTTAGGGTGTTTAACAATTCTCATAACAGAGACTTCTCGCTTGATTTGATCCATCAGACCAACTTTAAAAACTTTTTCTTTGTCTATGACCTTAATAGCTACACTCTGGCTTGTCCGAAGACTTCTCCCATAGTAGACTTTTGCAAAGGTGCCTTGACCAAGAAGTCTTCCTAGTTCATATCTTTGAGTCAACACACTGGGTTTATTTTCCATACCAAATTTAAAAAAAAATCTAAAAAGCAATGCTATGGTGCTGGAGTAAATATATTTTCAAGCTGCTTAATCTTCTCCACAGAAATATTGCACCAGAACAACAGCCATTTCATGACTAGAGGATCCATTCTGAAGTTGAGGCAATAGATCTAAACAGTCGAGTTCCAAATCACCAGTCTCATCATGCATCAGGAAGGACAGCTTTCTTACTCTTCCAACCTCAAGAAAACTTGAGACAGAGTCTAATTCTGTTAGACACCTTTCAGCATTGCCTATGTTCCCTGCTGAGTAAGATGTAGCGAGGCATGAAAGATGCTATATATAAAGCAAAAGCTTTCAAGAGAGACTTGGTGATTTGGGGAATGTTCAGACAAATAGATCCTCCGACCTGAATACAAAGAGAAGAATGTTTACTAAACAATCAATGAAACAGCCTTTAATACTCTCATGGAACATAATTAGAAAACGGTATCTAATATTCATTCTCAAAGAGCAAAGGCACTAAAAACCCAAATATCGACGTTTGAAAATCCACACAAGCTATTACCACTTCCAGAAGGGATCCCAATAAACAAGAAAGTAAATTTGGATACCTTTGCAAAACAAATAGAAAATTAATGAGATGCTTTCAGGAATCATGACGACTTCTAGAGCAGAACTAGCTCAGAGACACTCATACATACACTTAGAATTCAATTGTGCGCTGGTAGCATATGCAGACTTTGCAAAGATATGTCAAAGAGCAGAGTTAAAAAATGAAGGAACCATATGAACAAAATAAAGAATTCATAAATAAACCAATCCAACCTACAGAGAGCAGTTTCCAGGAACCATGTGAAGTCCAGCAGTAACAATAAACGATTGCACATCACCATAAAATAGTTAAGCAAATCATTGGTGCATCCGAGGTAGGCCGAGCGATGGCCAAGGTCTAGAAACAAACCGAATGCATCACAAACAAAAACCCCTTTTCCCTCCCTTTGCAATAATATATGTACTATGTAGCTCAAGAATTCAATGGAAACAATTTCAAGAAAAGGGTCAAAAGCTCATAAAACCCAATGAGAATCGAGGTCCAAGAGGAAACCAAAACAATGAACAAGGATGAACAGAAAAAGAAAGCAGATGTCTAATGTTCATTGTACCCGGTGACAGGCCAATCCTCTACCCGACCGAAAGAAACCATTACCAACCTCCAGCTTGGGCTATCTACACCTAATACCAGATTAACTTATGTCGATGATCACCTGGAAAAAAAAGAAAAGAAATCACACCCACAAATAATTTGTTCCAAAGCACTCGGCCCCCCCTTATCAGAACTCGCAGATCACAAATCCGATCGGATCGAAACGGCGCTGACCTTGGCGACTCCGAGAGAATCACCGCCCGACAACATTCGCAAAACGAAACAACCCAACACGTCTGGAATGAACCCATCACAGGAAAGAACACAAAGCTTGCAATTTTCGATTTTCTTGGTCTCCGTTCTGGATTTTTGGATTGGAAACGCTAGAAGCTCCCAAGTCAATCAAACAAACAAACAAACAAGAAGCAGAGCTCATCCCCGACAAAGATTAGCCATTTCTTGATAACAAAGAACCGAGGAACCATGGAAGAAGAACAGGTGGACAAGAGACAAAAAAGAAGAAACCTCGGGCGATTTACCTCCGCACGATGATTGGTGTCGGAGACGAAGCTGCGAATGGATCCAAAAACGGACAGAGGGAAAAGAGAAATCCCCAGAGCCTCGTACTGTTGCGTTATTATAATTAATTAATAATTATGAATTTTTTTTTCCAATAATTCATAATTATTTTCCAATAATTATGAATTATTGGAAAAGATGAATTAATGTCAGTTCCACGAATTTATTCGAGGCAGGCCCGACGGAATATTTATTGTGGTTCAAGTGAGCTTCGAGCCCCGATCCGATCCCACCGAGCGTGACGTAATGATTGGCCTGAATTTTTAAGGGATAACGACATAAATGATATTTAAATTTTGACCAAATATATAATACCATCCCCGAATTTTAAATTTATTTAATGTGATTCTTGAATTTTAACTTAATGTGTAATGCCGTCATTAGACTTT